AAAGTTGAAAAATTTTACCACAAGAAAAATCATCAACAAAGGAATCTTTAAAGCTGTATTTCAGGCAGAATGCAAGACAGAGAGATGGAGGAAGAAAATTAGAGCAAGGAAAGTGGTAAAATTCATGTAGAGATGTAGATAAATATTTACTGAACAAATTAGTAAAAATCAAAATTTTGGAGGAAATAAAAGATAGCATTAAAATACATAAAAATAAACTATCATTGTAGAACATGATAGAATAAATGTAGTTAAAATGTTCTAAGTCTATTATCTCTAAGAAGGACAAAGGTACTGATTAAACATATATTAATCAATTATGTGTATATATTATATATTCTAAGGGAAAGAGTATTTAACATATACATTTGTAATGGAACCAAAAGGAAATATACACTCACAGAAGGAGCTTAAAATGTATGGAAATTTTTATTATCTATAATATTATTTTTCTATACTTACTTGTGAAGCCTATGTGTATTTATCTGACACTGAGTTGATTCTGATTTATAGTGACTATATATCTATATCTATATCTATGTATATATAAAACCTTATATAAGTTTTCAGAGGCTGTAAACCTTTATGGGAGCAGACAGCCTTATCTTTCTCCTACAGAGTAGCTGATGGGTTTGAACTGCCAACCTTGGGATGAGCAGTTCAACACTTACTATATATATTGAATCTAAAGATGGCAAAAAGAAAATAAATGTAGAACATGGAAATAAATAGAATTTACAAAATAGTGAAATGTACAAGATGAGAGGCTTACACACACACACACACACACACACACATATATATATTAGTCAATAAATTATACATAAAAGTTCTTTGGAAAATTATACATAAAATTTCACCAAGATCATATTTTTCAACCACTGTTTCTTCCTCTTTGTTTACAACTTTTGCATTCTAATCACCAATAGTTATCAATGCATTTTGATTGCATGTTGATTAATATTGGACTGAAGACTTTGGTAGAATTCAATTTCTTCCCCACTAGCTTTGAGGGGTTGTTGCATAAATTTGAATAACAGGTATGTAATAATTGGATTTTTTTAGATGGGTATAGTTATTATCCTATCACAGACAGCACTGTAACCTAAGACAGATCTTTAAATACCCCTTTTAAAGCCAAATCTAATGCATTCTTCATGACTGTATCATTCCTGGCATAGTAAACTATATGATTTTCTAATTCAAAATAACAAGGTAATGGCAAACCAAGCAATTTTAATACAAATGACAGAAATATAGATAAATGTAAATATGCTTTAAGCTCCATGATTCAGCACTTCCTTAATCTAATTAAATGTAATAAAAAAGAAAACATATATTTAGTAATGAAATGATTTTCTTTGAAATTGCTTTTAATTCAGGGATGTCTACTATTTTTACTTCCATTTAAGATTATGCAAGGGATCCTAGTTAGCACCAAAGAGTAATAAAAGGTATAATTATTAAAAAGACTGGGCAAAAGTCATAATTAATAATAGATAATATGTGTAATATATAGAAAATTTACAAGAACATGTAGAAAATTTATTATAATTAAAAATTCCAGCAATAAAATTGTATATAAAATCATCATATGTGTAAAATAGTCTTCTCTCATATCAACAAAAATCAGAAAATTAAAAGTTAAAAGATACCAGGCTATCCTCACCTAATAGAATATGACCTAGTGATCCATGACAATATGGATCTTTCTAGAAATATATGCCACACACGAAGGAGCAAGTTCTACTTTAAAGATTTAACTAATCTTCATTGTTAAGAAAGGGAATAAAATGGTTGTTAAATCATGGAAACCCATTGCACACTTGAAATCTGTGTTTTATCATAACAAATTGTTTTATATCAATAAGATAGGTGATTAGGTTATTATAAGAAAGAAGCTGCACTCTTTTCTCACATCTTATATTAAAAAGCCTTTTAGGTCAATTAAAATCTCACATCAAGACCAACCATTAGAGCGTGTGGAGCACACTATGGTCATGACTTAAGGGATGGAGGTGAGTTTCCTAAATAGAGACAATAGTCCTATGGAAAGATGTCCATAACTCAACTACATTAAAATTACTATACAAATACAAAGAAATTTTACAGAGAATAAAATAATGTTTATAACAAAATTAAGTAACAAAAAACTAGACTATATGCATCACTTCCATAATCAAATAAAAACAAATGAACATCTTAATAGGCAAAGTGTTAAAAGATCTGAGTTCACAACTCATTCAAAAATCAGTCTGAGGAGCCAAAAAAGAGAAAGGTTTCAGAGCCATTTTGTTTTGTTTGTTTGTATTTGTTCAATTATCAGGGTGTATTTCAGAGGTGTTATGTCATTGCAGTTCAACATCTTGATGTTGTGCTATATGTTTTTCTCTCTGTCGGTATATGAAACCCAGGATTGATGAGCCTATAGGGCAGAAGGAGAATAAGGGTTTTTTGGTTTGGGAGGCAGGAAGTCCAGTGATGGTGGGTGTGACAATGTCTAGAGTCCACAGGAAGAAAAAGAATGTTCGGAAACTGACTGAGTAGCATTTCTGCAATTCTATTTGATGTGATTGAACTATGGAATGACAGGATATATGTATTAGCTCCCAATGAATACTAATTAAAAACAAAAAGAGCATCATGCTGCTGCTGACTAATGGAACTCCCGTAGGCACAGTAGAACTGCCCTGTGTGTCCTGAGAGTGTGACTCCTCTTTCATGGCGGGAAGCCTCACTCTTCTTCCACGGAGATGCAGTGGCTCTGTGCCCCTCCAGGGCTCCGCTCCTCATCGCTCTGGAGTGTGAATTGATAAACTCCTATGAAAATGGCTTGGATAGTTTCCAGCCAAGTTCAGTGGACACTTTCCAATAAACTCTTAAATAGACAAAGTAGAGAAATGCATGCAAAGATGCAAGAATGTGTACCCAAGTTATATGCTTAGGAATTCTTCTGTATTATAACAACATGCTTATAGTGGTCTCAATAATGTACAAACATGGGGTGGATTTTGAGACATTCACATAAGAGTAAAAAAAAAAGCACTGCCATTGAATAAACTTAACCACATCTAACAACAAGAATGAATAACACAAATAGTGCTGAATCAAATCATCAAGAAAATTGAATATATGCATACATAGTCTATATATGCTTATATAGCATACACATTTAATGTTCATTAAGTGATACTAAGTTTACTCATAAATTGAAATATAGACAAAACTCAATTATACTATTTAAGGATATAGAAAAAGTTATATATATTTAATCATGTATAAATTATAATGTTATATATATATATATATATATATACTTTATATATAAAATTCAGAAATATGGTTACACTACTGAGAAGGGGGTTCAGGCACATAATCAAAAGAAGCATCTAAGGGTTTTTAGAGTACTTGACATGCTCTATTTCTGGAATATGATTTTGCCTTTAAAATAATTAACTGAACTATCCATGTGCTTCATGCAGTTTTCAGTCTTTTGCTATTCACATTACACATCAAAATTGTTTTAACCTCCCTACTCCCTATGTTCGGAGATACATTTGTTTTCTTTTGTGGTTAGGAATAATTTCTCCCTTTGTGCTATTCTGGTAGCCTATATCTCAGCACTGAAAAGACACTCACTGAAGACATTGACCCTCCATGCAGTAAACACTACTGTGGCAGTTACATAATCTACTGTCAACTTGAGCGATGGGGTGGCATCTAGCTTGTCGATCAGGTCGCAGTTTGATGACCTCCTTTGGAGGCACTACAGAGATAAATAGGTCACTGCTGTTGAGACCCTCAGAGAGCTGCAGGAGGCACATGGAGACCTGTCCCAGCAGTGAGATGCTCCCATTGCCACTGGATTCAAAAGACCTACCCACTAGCCTGTGATCTTCCTGCATTCAGCATCACTGCATGTGCTGAGTGAGTCTAAAGAGGAATTTATGGACTGGCATCAGAAACATGGGCTAATATTTGAATTATGGATTTGATCTGGACTAGGTTGGGATGTTTTCTCAATATACAATTGCTCTTTTATATAAATCTCTTTCTTTTACACATAAGAGTATCTATGAATTTGTTTCTCTAGTCAACCCCAACTAACACAGAGTTGTAGGCTCTGTATGCATTCTCAATTACTTTAGATTTTTCACTCTCAAAAATATATATAAAGTGGCAAGTGCAAACCATAGAAAAGTCATTCCTCTAGCATTTTTTATATTTCTCCTTGGGAAAGTCATTGCCCTGGTATTTCATGAAACATCTTTTATAGGAGCTCAGTTAGCAACTTCGTACATATGATCCCTAGTATATAACAAGAGTTCTTTTTTTGCAGACCATTTTCTACTTATTACCTGACATATATAGGAGTTAAGATACTGAAATGTCACATTTTATAGACTTTCTTTCTACTCTATGAAACTTATCCAAATTCTTAATCTAAATTTGTACACGGTACAAGTTTTTCTCACACCCATACCTTCTACAAATATAAACCTCACTATTTTACAAATTACAATCAATAATGACTCATAGGTGATGCCACTTCTCTCTACAACCAACAAATTATATTTTTCTTATGAAATTATTCTGACAAATGTAATTTATAGCATCACAGTTTTGTTGTTGTTAAGTGCCTTGGAGTCAGTTTCTACACAAAGCACAACACAGCACTGTCTGTCCCTGTGCCGACTTCCTAGTCGTTGCCATAATTCAGCCCATTTTTTGCTGCCTCTGTGTTAACCCATCTCATTGAAGACCATCCTTTTATTCAGTTATTTTTTGGCTGATTCCCTGCCTGATCAAGCTCAATGCCCTTTTCCTGGGCATTTAGCAGGACTCAAATATCAACCTATTTTGGGGGGGGGGGTCTCACTTCTTCCTCTTTCAAACTTCAGCATTAATGTGTACTCTGATCATATTCTATGGAGAATAATCAAGCAAAACCATAAATGCCATAGAGATTATAAAGCATTGATCAGTGTCTCTGGTCTTACTTTTCGAACACCTCGGCCAAGTTCTTCTCCATAGTTGGTTCCAAGGATTTCAAAGTGAACATTGGGGTTTCCTCCATTTTCTCCAAATTCTAGCTCTCCAGTCAATCCATTAACACCTCCCTAATGGATGGAGAAAAATAAGAGAAAAAACAACAATTCAATATTTCAGAATTAAGAAAATATGTAGCTATGTAAAACATGTTTAGTCATTCCACTTCTGTCATATTAATTTAAGTTTATAGTTATTAATGAAATTTTTATGTACACAGCTTAAACGGGAGCACACTTGAAAGTATTTTTGATGATCACGTAAACCAATATTATTCTTTCATAGGCAAAGAAATTTAAAATGACTGCTCAACATGGCACCGTGTTAGAGCTGAAAGTCTATTTCCAGCATTTTTTCCCCGCTCCATACTATTCTTAGGGGCTTAGCTACATGAATCAGGGGAAAAAGAAGCTTCCAGAATACACAAAATCTAATTTGGAAAAGAGTTTTGACAATATTTTTCTCTGCAACACTATTCTACTCAAATTTTATCTAAAATAATTTTGGAAATCTTAACATCTGTGATTTCTAAATTAAAGACTTATTTTTTGTTTTTCTTTAAATATTTCCCCCCGCAAAAACCCCTCCAAATTAGACTTGAAATCTGTTTGACTTTTAAATGGTAGTGCTAGCAGTTGAGATTCATTGAGAATTTCCAAGCTTCATCTTCCATTCAACATGACAGATGTTCATTTCCCAACAGATGGCAATGTAGGTCATACTTCTCTCTTTCTTGTTTACCATTTCTTTCTCGGTTTAGTTTATAAGCTTTCATATTATTTATGATTTTACAAATGAAAGTCACTTTTTGAGTCATGTCGATAGTACACTAACATATAATTCAGGCTTGATATTGACATTTATTTGGAAATAATTATCCTGTTTGGTTAATTGATTCAATTTTCAACTCTATGATTTTGATACTTAGATATTTCTTACTTGCCATAACCTCTAACTCAGTTTCTTAACTTTTTTGGCAGGCTCTATGATGTATGCTTTTTCCTGGCTTATCTCAGTTTTATACCTGTCACAGTTTTGATGCTAAATTTATAATAGGCATTCAAAGAATCATTGTTGAATGATGCTTTACTATCCTAGTCATTTAATTAAATATTTTATGTATTTTTTTAATTGTTATAATCAACAGAAATATTTCTCTATCCAGATTTTCTAATAAGCTGGTCTCTCATTTATTACTAATTTTAATGATAAAATAAATTGTTTTTGAGATATCTATAATATATATACACACATATATTTATACATATATATGAAAAGGCAGTCAAGAGCATGGGTTTTATAGTCAAATTCTCTAGGTTGAATTATTGGCATCAGAATTTACTAGGAGTGTATGCAGGTAAGTTATTTCCAGTTTTCTATGTCTCGACTTTGAAATCTGTAAAATAGGGCAAATAATAATATCTAATCCAAAAGATTATTATGAGTCTCATTATAAATAATGCAGGCAAGGCACAAAGAAGAGTACTTGGTGTTGGGTACCAAATTTAATCGCTATTAATATCATCATCATTAAAATCAAATCCACTATCATCAAATTGGTTCTCATTCTTAGTGATTCAACAAGACAGAGTAGATTTGCTCCATAGAGTTACTGAGGCTGCACATCTTTCCAGCACCTGACTGCCTCATCTTTCTGCCTCAAGGTAGCTGGGAGATTTCAACCATTGACTTTCCAATTTGAAAGAATTTCTAATTCTCAAAATAGGAGACATGCTCCTGATTTTTTAAATTCAAAGTTTAATGCAAGTCACACAATTTTATTACACAATTGAGCATTTAGGTAATTGTGGAATACTTTTGTAATTTCAACTCCATTACAAGGGTGATTTCAAATATGCATGGGAAAATTGTACTAAAAGATGACAGCATTTTCCAGAGAAATTTTGAAGCTCCCTTCTACATTTTATTGATTAGTCCTTGGAGTAATGTTTTAAAGCTGTTAATCTATGATCTGTTCACTGTTTTACTGGTGTGCTGGGGCTGGGAGGAGGAGGAGGATACCGTCTAAGGAAAAGAAAAGAATATGGAAAAATGTGTCTAGGGTGAGAAATTTAGAAGTTGGCATACAGAAACTTTATTTTATGAATCAAAGTCTTTGTGGGTCAAAATCAACTTGAAGGTATTGGATTTTAAGTTGGTTTAATGGTGCTGTGAGTTAAGTGTTTGCTAACAACAAGGCTGCTTGTTCAAATCCAACAGCTGCTCCATGGGAGAAAGATGAGGCTGTCTGCTCCCTTATGGATTTATAGAATAAGAAACCCTATACATTTTGGAAGGGTTAAAAATGGAGTTGTTTCATAGCATAAATCCTGTCAGTTATATGAGCTAAACCTGACAAGCCTTCCTTTGAAAGTCCAATATGAAAAGAGAAGGCTCAGTGAACCATTCAATGTGTTTTATTATCTCTCTCCTTTGTTCTTCTTTATTTTATCCATCTTCTATGGGGGTGAGATAATCTCTTCTTGCAACTCAATTTGTGTGCTAGTTCAGCAGCAACATCTCAAAGCAAGGAAATATTACTTAATGTTTTAAATATGGAAGTAAGTAGAGTGGATCTTATTATTAATATTTCTACGTGTCAAAAAGTATGGGCTTTTGACAAATTTAGTTTATATTACGATACCTAAGTTTAAACTATTGATCTTCAAAAATCCTTTTCTAAGAGCTTTTGCTTTGTCCTCTGTCGCACAGTGTTGCCAGTTTTATCTGATTAGAATCTTAAATATCTGTATCAGGACTTCATTTGTTGAAAACAAGAGTCGAGATATTGCATATGACTCGAATTGTTAGATTGTAAAAATTGTAGACCGCTGAACATTCTAAACATTTGAGCAGCAGGCAGCTTGGAGCTATGTTATTGTTTCTGACCAATGTTCCCATGGCCATTCTGTCCAACATCTCTCCCTAGTATAGTTCACTTACACAGCATGAGCTCCAAACCCAAGACAATTACTGGAAGGAAGGGATCTAGAATTTTGCTGATTTACTATGACTTCCATTTACCTTCTTACATTTTGACTTTGTGAGTTATCATTTTTCTTGCATATTTCTAATGAGCTTTTAGCATGCAGGATCAGTGAAACCTTTAATCATGAAGAAATAAAGCATGTCTAAGAGTTCAGTTTTTCATACAAATAAACCCTTTAGTTGAAGGCTTTTCTTATCTGACCCAGCTGTCACCTCTCTGATTTCTGATTGCCACAGAACCTTCTAGTGCTTTTTTAGATTTTGAAAATCTATTCTCAGATCTACCCTGAAAACAGAGCCTTGGTGAAAATGCTTGCTGAATGGATGGTGAAAAATGATCATTATCTTTGTGTGCAAAAGTTGTTTGTTTTTTTTAATCACCTGATGCAACAGATTCTCAACAAAGTGAGCTAATGGAACATTGATAGTATGAGTAATACATAAAAATCATATCTAAATGTCTTTAAATTGACAGTAAAAATCACTACCATTTTCATTCTTTTTAAAATAGAAAGCAGAATTGGTTTGAATTTCATCCTACCCTCTCTGTAAAAATTGTATTAGGCAGCAGATGTACAGAGCAGATGAGAAGAAAAATAAAAATTGGAGTATCATCGACTGGGATTAATTTACTACTGGGACATCCTATTGTGAAAATGCAAACATTTTTTGCTCTTCAATGGATATGAACAACTGGACAAAAAGAAGATAAATAAATGAGGATTTTATTAATTGCTCATGATGCTGACTGTTCTTTTCCTGTGTGAAAACAAAAAGTGACTTTGAGATACTTCTGAGATCGTATGGAACATCACCTACTTATGGTGCTCCCTAACTCCTTATACATATTCTCAGGCTCCTTGCAACTTGCAGATATGCTTGGTGACCAAGGACACCTTGTTAAATAAGCATGAGCCAGCAAGGCAGTGAACGCACTGGGGGACGCCAGGCTCAGCAGAATATCCTCAAGTTCCCACGTTTCAGCAGAGTTAGTTTCAGAGAAAAAACAAAAATCCATGCCAAAAAGAAATGTTACATTTTCCACCCAAGAAACAAGTATGGTGGATTGATAAGTGCCAGGATACATGAACCAATAAGCAAAAGCTTTATTTGTGTGACATTTATAGTAAAAATTAATTGTCATTGAACAATTACATATGTGTGTGTGCACAGATACATCCAAACCCCCAAACAATCCACTATTGCCATCGAATTGACTCCAACTCACGATGGCCTCTTTAGGGTTTCCGAGATTGTAAATTTTCTCCCCGCAACTTGAAATGTCAATCTCGTGGTTGGCAGGCCAATGCTTAACCCACAGCACCACCAGGGTTCCCTGCATATTTACACACATGTAAATCCACATTTATAGCTACAAATTGAAGTGCTCATCATAGAGACTGACTTTTGAATCCTAATAGCAAGTTGAGATATAATAGGCTATTGCTAGTATAATGGCTATATTATCTGCATCTTTGCTAGAAACTGAGGCCAAGATGAGTAATTAATTGAGGAATCTAAACTGAATTTTCCATCTGTACCTCATGCTTTTTCTCCTAGAATATGTAAATTGTGTATGCAACCCAACATAAGCAAATCACAGCGGGTTTCTAAAAATATTTTGGTTGAACTGAATTACATAAAACTTTAACTTCATTTCTTGCACTCGATGATTCAAACGCCCTTAGGTTGGAATGCACATTGATGAGTCCACAAGGAAACCATTTCAGACAATAAATTGCATTTTGAAAAAGTTGTGTTTTGCACGCATCTTTATGAAAAGGGTGTCTGCTATTCCACGTCACTGCCATTTCTGCTAAATCAGATTAGGCTTCCGAAAATTCCCTCTCCCTCATTACTTCTTGGGCAGATTTTTAAGTTCTGAATTGTAAATAGGGGCATGAGACAAAAGGCCAAGTAATATTTTTTCTATTCCTTTCAGTCCACTATTGTAAGACATATACAGCTATACAAGTTATTTTTGTCTCATTAGAAAACTAGGATTAACATTTTATTTTTTTCCTCTTCCACTCTTCCATCACCTACATTTCTCTCAAAAGTATCTACTTCTCGTTAACCCCAG